CCCATTTTTTTACAATAGTGCGGTGAAGTGTGATTCTAAAGAGGCTGGCCTTGCCACAGGTTCAAAAAATTAAACTGAAGCAGATTGGGGTGGAGGCAGGCAGGTGGAGAATATTCTACAAACAAAAGAGTGCATTTCTAAAAATGAGAGAAGGAAAGGGGGCGAGGCTCTGTGAAAAAGCCACAACCTTGAAGCAAAATGGGACCAATAAACAGCAGTGGGGAGGGGACAAGAGTAGATAAAGATTCAGAGACCATGTTTTGGGGGAAGACATCATGAGTTTTAAAGAAAGAGGAGCATGGATCCAGTCTCCCATCATGGAGGCAAAGCTCTGCCTGAGACTTTTCCCACAGTGCTTTGCGAGAATGGCACTGCACCCCCTCGTCCCTTACAGTTCTGACAAACGCCACCCCAAGACAGCCTGGCCCCGCCCACGCCCAAGCACACCCTTAGCATGCTCTCTGCTTCTCATGTATTTTCTTTTGTATTACCCAAGGCATGGGTAGGTATTTGTACCTCTTTTCCTTACTGGAGTCAGAGAGAGAGAGAGAAAGACAGCGTTTCCTGTCTCCAAATTGAACTTCAAAAACCTTCAAATTGAACACTGTGTCTGCTTTCCCACTGTGACCCCAGAGCCCAGTTCAGAGCCCGTCATATAGTAGGAACTCCATAACGCCTGCTAACTGGAACAGAAAGAAGGCAGGGAGAAAAGAGCACAGCTATAACCCACTTGCTTCTCAGAAGCTTTTTAATAAGAACAATAATAAAAAATAAAATTAAAGTAAGAAGAGCATCTGCCAACCTGCATATCTGTGTTCTTTGTCTCTCTCAATCTTCACAGTTTACTCATTTTAAGGAGTGAGGAAACTTCGCTTTGCAAACTCTGTTCCTTAAGGTGGCACTAGGGACCACTCCAACGCACATGTTCTCTTCTGTGTCCTCATTTCTCACAGAATTGTGTCAGGAGAACAGGGAGTCTGGACCCCCTCTCTTAACCCCCTGGTCAGGGGGTAGGAGTTCCTAGGCATCCTCTACCCATGATGGCCCAAAGCTTGGTCAGTTCCAAATGGGCCCCAGTGAAGCCCCTCAGGTACTGGCATTTCACCAGAGCATCTGATCTGTCTGGGAAAATAGCATCAAATTTCCCCCACCCACTGTGGTCGGGTAGGGAAGTCAGCAGGTTGAGAATTCTCTTTGGCTCTAGATGATTCTAAATCCCAAAGAAAGGCAGGTTCCCCACACCCCTACTCTGGGCTCACCTTAAGTCTTCTTTCTAGAAATTTTACACAGGATATTGATGGGAGAGATCTGAGGAGGGGCGGAGGCCCTGAGGCACCCACTCGTGTGAAGCCTTCAAAGATATTTGACCCATCGTCCTCAGGTACCAACTAGAGCCGGAGCTTTCCACTCCTCCCTGGGACCCAACAGACCTCTCTGTCATTGTGCCCTCCAGGCCCGCCCAGCCTCGGGGTCTGTGCTGACACTCTGGGCAACAGGAAAAGTCAAGGAGGGGCTCCCTGTTCATTCCATCTTTGTGGCTCTCATCTGTGGGTGTTTAGGACAGAAAACAACCTCCAGTCTTCTGCTGCCAGCTGAACTTCCTGTCTGACTCTGCTGGAAATTTTCAATGCCCAGGACTAGAACCTCCCAGAAGGAGGGTGCAGGCATCATTCCGAGGGGACAACCCCACATCCCTGCACACACTCCCCTCTCCCCTGATGCGGCTCCCTACACACTCCTCTTCTGATCACGCTGGCTGGTGATGCTTCTCACATCTGCACGGAGCCTGCTGAAGGGATCCAGGTTTGGTGCTCACCTGGCCCTGCCCTCTGGTTCCCTCCTGGGTTTGCTTCTCTCAGTTTTGACTCCACTCTGGTTCTGACAACTATACCACCATCACCACCTAGTTACCCACTTGGAGACAACCTGTCAGGCAGAGCTGGGTTCAAATTTTGCCTCCAGCAGCCCCGTCCTCCATGTAGGTCCTTGGATACGACGCTTAGCATCTCTTAGAGAAACAGGAGTCATAAAATCGCCCAACCCCCGTGGTTGCTGGAAGCATGGAGGAAAACTACAGGAAGAATGAGAAGGGCTTAGGCAGCGGTGAGTCTCTCCCAGCAAAGTCACTCTTAAGTCCCCACTCAGACACTTGGTTCTAACATCAACAGAGCGTGGGGTGGGAGAGGTGGAGGTGGGTGCCTAATCGAGGACACCTGCGGCTGAGCGTCCTTCCAGGGCCTGGGGCCGGCTTCCTCTTCCCGTGCTATCAGGTGGCCCATCAGCAAGCCCAGCAAGACAGAGCCTCGCAGAGTCAGGAAGCACAGATCTCCTCAAATTTCTTTTCCAGTTCCAGCCCTTCTGTTTTCTGACCATTACAAGGAAAAAGACAATTCCCCGGGTGTCCCTCCTCCTGCGTACGCTTGACTTCATCAGTGGGCATCTTGTCTGCTGCCACTGAGAAGGGACCCCCTGCAGGCCTGTGGAACCTGGTATGAGACTGGCTTCTGAGTCACAAAAGTTGATGCAGAAGGTGATAAGGGCTGAGTTTCGATGCCTGGCAGGAGGTAGCCCAGGGATCTCTTGCAAATGCCGTTGGGTTCCAGGCAGGCCACCTGCAAAAGCAGTGCAGCTCACAGTCCCGCAGGAGACAGTGGGGTGGTGTGCGCGAAATGTAACATAGACCCCTCCCCAGCAAAGAATACTCTGCTCCTCAGCTCCAGCAATTACTATGGCCCAGTGTTGCCCGATCACCTAGAAGGCAGAAGTTAAGATATTTTGCGATGACCAGTCTGGTGATTTTTAAATGTTGGCCTCTGGCTGTTAAAAGGTTTAGCATGATGCAAGCTCCCCAGTACATATTTAATCCAGATAGGACCTCAGGCTGGCTGTTTATTCCCTAAATTCAGTAAATGAAAAAGAGAAGAAAGGATTCTTGAGAAAGAGCTTGATATTCAGAGGCGCAACCTTGGGAACTGGCCAGCACATTCTAGAAGCTGTCCATGGCTTGGCAGAGTTAGAAGGGAGATGGGTACAAAAGATGACCAGGTCAGAGGCGCCCAGCTCAGAGAGGGTCATCTGCACTGTGCTACAGAATCTGAACTTGATTTTGAAAGCTCTGGGGAACTGATGAGGGAAGCCAAAGAGTTTATAGGGGGAAGGACAAGCTGCACTCCCCTCTGTGGGAGGGGCTGGCAGACAGTCGGCCTGTGCACACGGGGTGAGGAATGGGAGTCACGGCAGTGACCCAGGGTGAGGGATGGGCGCTGGCACTTCTGTCCCCAGGTAGGAACAAGACTGGGGATCCTCAAAGGGGAAGTGTGGAGAGTAGATACCATCCTGGTTCTAAATGGGTACTCTCAAAGGGCATTCTCTGCAGGAACACTGAGAGAAAGCAGGGTGCGGGGCCTTTGTGGATATAGACAGGATGCACTGAGTCTAGAGCCAAGCGTGAGGTATGCAACGCAAATCTGGGCATCGCCAGCTGGTGGATGGACAGTGGAGGATGGGATTCATCAAATGGACTAAGCTACAGTTGTTTTCTGAGCAGCTCCAACATCCAGGTGTTGTGGCTTCAATCAAGAATATTCCCAGAAGTCTCATGTGTTCAGAGGTGGGCTTTGGGAGGTGACTGGGTGATGGCAGGATCTCTCTCATCAGTGGATTAAATCACGGGTGAATCCAGAGCTGTCAGGAGATGAGGCCTAGTTGGGGAGGCAGGCAGTAGGGGCTTGGCCTGGAAGGGTGTCTGCTCTCCAGCTCCTCCCTTCTCTCTCTGCTTCCTGGCTGCTGTGACGTAAGAAGCTTCCCCTGCCAGACCCTTCTACCACGAACCTCCATGGCCGTGGAGCCAACAGACCATGGACTGAATCCCTAGATATCGTGAGTCAAAACAAACCTCTCCTCTAGGCTGTGGGTATCAGGTATTGTATCCCAGCAACAAGAAAGTGATTGAGATACCAGGGGAATGGCGGAGAGTGAAGCTGGAGAGGAAAGTTCAACAAAAGCCTGGAAAAAGTCTCTGCAGGATGGAGGAGGAGGCAGTCCATGGCCCACAGGATACTTTAGCATCTCGCTCAGTTCATTGGACAGAGAAGAGAGAAGAGCTTGGCTTGATCCCAGTGCATGGTTGGATCCTCTCAGGGAAGGACCAGGCCACACTTCAAGGGTCACCTTGGGGTTCCATCGTGCATAGTCCCATGGACCATGGCCGTACCATGCCCAGCTCTCTGCCATTCGTGCCACTGTCAGATGTACCTCTCCTGTGAAGAAGAGAAATGCACAGGATTAAACTCAGGCGGACCTCTCTGGAGCAGAACCAGCTCCTGGTACAGCCCCTAAGCAACCAGCAGCACTTCAGGAAACATAATTCTGGTACAGTTAACTCACCAATTTCTTCCATGGCTTTTACTGTCTCCCTGATAGACTGCCCTGTTGAATAGCAAGCTCTCCAAGGACACTGCTCCAAGGGGTCTGCCAGGCTCCACAGAAGCAGCTGGTTTATTCTGTTCCAAAGAGCAGTGGACATCACCTTCAACAGCATGGACATGTGTTCAGGGTTTCTCAAGGTCCTGTAAAACCTCAATTTACAGAAAAGTATGTCAAGGCCAAGAGGCGTCCAGGGCTGCAAAACCACAGGCCACTGCGAAAGACAGCTCTAGTCTGCCAACCGACAGTCCCACCTGTCCTGCTTCCATCCGATCCTGGGGCTTCCTGAGCAGCAACCATGACAGCTGCTGAAACAGAGGGAGTTGCCATTCCCCCAGGTCCAGGCAGAGTCAGGAGGGAGGCACATCAGACACCCAGAAGAAAAGCCACTTCAAAGTCTTCCCCAGCTCAGGTAACCCCTGGAAATTTTCTCATGAAAAGGCTGAGGCTGGCATTAATAGGGATGCTGTGAATGACTGTGGGTCCATCAAGAAGGGAGCAAAAGGGAGGAAAGAAAGCCAGGTAGAGCACAGAAGCCTTTCAAGTCCCCGTCGGGCGGGTTCAAGAGCAAAGCATGGCATGTCCAACAGGCATTCTGCTTCTCTTTAAAGAGCATGGATTTATCCACACCATGCAACATGAATGAAAGGAGAAGTTTCCGAGGCTGCCAACCTTTCCATTGAGGTTTTGCAGTAGTATATTTCTTCTACAATAAAAAATGGAGAAGCGACAGGTGAGGTTAATGCTGTGTCTGCAGCATGAGGCCCAGTGATCATCAAGATTGGATCCTAAAATACTGGGCAATGGAAGGTTGAATAAATTTTCATATGAAACCATTCCCAAGCAATGCCTTTAATGGCCGGGTCACACTTTATTGGTGTGGGCTAAGTGGAGTCTAAGTGCTCTATTTTCCCAATTAGCCAGATGTTGTGCAACTATTTGTTAAGCTCCCTTTGCTTCTCTGACTCCTCTGGACCTTCTCTACTGGATGTTAAAGCTTTGCAGGTGCAGGGGCTGCGTTCTGCAGGCACATGAGGTTTGGCCACATGTGGACCAGGATCTGAATCCCTGCTCCAAGCAGTCCCCCTGGAAAGGTGATCCTGAGCAAATCCCATGGCTGTGTTTTCAGCAGTAGGTGGCTTCTTTCTGAAAAAGAGTAAGAAATAAGAAAGTGAAACGCCCTGATACGATGCCTAGCCCCTAGTAGGACTCAAGTGAGTGAAGTCATTATATTTTTGATAGGCCTTTGGGAATCTGCAGGTCCTTTTAGCTCATGTGACTGAGACAAAAATGTCCCCTGGGATCATTTAAGGAAGTAAATTTGATGGAGAGTGAGAGGCTGTTTAGTTCTAACATTATATATATATAT